AGGACAAGGACAAGTGTTGCTCCATCCATTTGTTCCCCAACTGGAAACCACAGATGAACCAGGAAATCCACTGCCTACCGAAGAACAGGCAAGTGGTGTTCAAGTCAGACAACCCTGACATTTACAGGAAACCCAGATATGACCTCTGTAAGGCCATGAGACATGCCAAGAGGCAATACTGGACTAAGTTAGAGACCCAAACTAACCACACAGACACTTGCCATGAGTGGCAAGGCCTACATAACAAAACAGGTTATAAAATGTAGAACAGAACAGTCGACAAAAATACATCCCTCCCTGATGTGCTCAATGCATTTTACGCTTGGTTTGAACAGAAGGTCAGTGAAACGGTGTCACCTGCCCTGACATCCTTGGATGCACCTGTTTCCTCAATCACTGCTGCAGACGTCAGATTGGCCTTCATGAGAGTGAACCCATGAAAAGTAACTGGCCCAGATGGAGTCCCCGGCTGTGCACTCAGATCCTGTGTGGACCAGCTGGTGGGGGTATTTGCTAATATCTTTAATCTCTCCCTTCTACAATCTGAAATCTCCACCTACTCCAAGAAGACCACCATCATCCTGGTACCAAAGAAAACACATGCAATGTCTACTGTGCAGTGGCTCTGACCTCCATAATTACAAAGTGCTTTGAGAGGCTAGTCATAGCTCATACCAACTCCAGCCTCTCAACCTGCCCCGAACCCTTGCAATTTGCCTACCAGCGCAACAGGTCCACGGCAGATACCATCTTCTTAGCCCTACACTCATCCCTGGAACATCTGGATAATAAGGATACTTACGTCAGGCTTCTGCTTAGTGACTACAGCTCTGCCTTCAGCACTATAATCCCAAACTAATCTCAATTTTGAGACTTAGGTCTCTGCTCTGCCCTCTGCAACTGGATCCTCGTCTTCCTGACCCACAAACCACAATCAGTGAAGACAGACCACAGCATCTCCTCCACGACAATCCTCATCACCAGCTCTCTACAAGGATGGGTACACAGCCCCCTACAGCGCTCTCTGTACGCTCATGACTGTGTGACCAAATTTCATCTGAACTCCAATCTACAAGTTTGCTGATGACACTACTGTTGTAGGCCGGATATCAAACAATGGCGAGACAGAATACAGGAAAGAGATAGAGTGCTTGGTGATGCGGTGCAAAGATAACAATCTCCCCCTCAATGTCAGCAAAACTAAAGAGCTGATCATCGACTTCAGGAAGCGGAGGGGGAAACACCCCTCTCTACATCAACAGAGATGGTCGAGAGCGTCAAGTTCCTAGAAGTGATGATCACCAACAATCTGTCCTGGACGCCCCCACGTTGATGTGACAGTCAAGAAGGCACAACACCACCTCTTTTTCCTCAGGAGGCTAAGGAAATTTGGCATGTCCATCAAGATTCTCACCAACTTTTATAGATGCACCATAGAAAGCATTCTATCTGGATGCATCATGGCTTGGTATGGCAACTGCTCTGGCCAGGACCATAAGAAACTACAGAAAGTTGCGAACATAGCCCAGACCATCGTGCAAGCCAACCTTCCATCCATTGACTTCATCTACACTTCTTGATGCCTCGGAATGGCAGCCAACATCATCAAAGACCCCTTCCACCCGGTTATAACCTCTTCTGTCATGAAGATACAGAAGCTTAAACACGTGTACCAGGATGCTTATTCCCTGCTGTTATTAACTCCTGAATGGACCTCTCAAATTTCAAATCTAACATTGATCTTGCTTTTTATGCACCTTCTTAGCAGTCGTAACTTTGTATTCCTCACTCAGTTCAATTACCCTATGATCTTTATATGTTAAGATCTGCCTGTACTGATGCAAAACAAAACTTTTCATTGTACTTAGGTATATGCGACAACAATAAATCAAATCAAATCAAATCAAATCTTGACTGTTTCAGACACCAATAATCACAGACTGAATTAGGCAGCAAAACATTTGTGTTTTATTGTCAATCTACAGCATAGTAGAAATATCAGTTTCTACCTTTCCCTCTCCAGAAGCGAACCTTCATTGGGGAAAAATTAAACTCTTCTTTTGTAAATAAACCTAGCACAAAATTAATTATTCACCTTATTAACCAGTTACAATTCACAAAGGGTAATGTAAAGAACTCAGTCTTTTATATTTGAAAACCCACCACTCAAACACATCGCCCATTGAGTCTAAGCCGCCATTCAATGAGATCATGGCTGATCTGATAATCCTCAAATCCACTTTCTTGCCTTTTCTATACAACCCGTGAATCACTTACTGATTAAAAATGCCCATTGCAGCCTTGAATATACTTAGAGACCTAGCATCTAAAGCTTATGTCCTTTTTTCTCCCTCACCACTAAATCACCCAGGTTTCCAATTAAGAACCAATTTACATGCAGACTGTTCGGGGTAGTGCAATGACACCAAAGGTGAGGGAAAGGTAGCAAGAGGCAAAATCAAAATGGAGTTGGAGGGGGAAGATATGCCATTCTACCCTGCAGTGCCCACCTCTCTATAAAGACGGTGAGAATATTGGTGGACACTGCATGCTGCCTCTCCACAGAGACACAGGCTCAACTGTAGCTGTGGAAGAGGATCAGGCAGTCAAGAACTGTGACCCTATCTCACTGCCCACTGCCAGGGCCTGTTAATGGCTCATTAGGCTGGGCCCAGAAGCAAACCCATGAGGAGGTACCCCGACTTGCCTGCTCCATCGAAACTCCGTCCTTTTCCTCTCTTCTTAGAGCTTAGTCCTTAAGTACAAAGTTCATGAGCATCACCTGTTCCCAGTCAACTGGAGCTGATCTGTATGAAGGGACCTGCATCTCTAACTCTGCCAACTCCTACAGTGACACATACATACTCATATTCTCACATCAACACTCAGCCCTTCATTCACTCAAGCCCTCCACTCCTACTCAGCTCCCCAATCACTTATGAGCTCCCTCCTATTCTGATTCCTACAGATTCACTCATGTCTTCCCATCACCACTCAGCTCTTCATTCACTCAAGCCTTCAATTCCTACTGAGCTCCCCATACTCTCACTTGTGCCATTCTAATTCCACTGAACTTGCATTCACTCACATGCCCTCTAATCCCCTCACTCACTTATCTTCTCATCATTCTCCACTTTCTCCTCTACCTTGGATTCTCCATTATGTATGGGTGTGGGAGAATTAGACTGAAGAGCAGTGGTTCTCAAGGACCAAAGCTCAGGCTCTGGATGCCAGCCCCACCTTGCTCTTCCCCATCTTGGATGGTCATCTACTTATCCCCAGTCAGTCCCACTCCCTACCCTACTAACATTAAGATATTTCTCAGCCACCACCCACAGCCCACTTCCCATATCCCCCATTCTGGCTCCACTCATCCCAGTCTAATTGGCATTGCCTTTACTGCTGGAGTCAGCATCAAGTGGAGGAAAGTGCTATTCAGGCCATATATTGGAGCAGTAGCTTTGTGAAGACTGATCATCAGCAAAAAACAGCAAGTCAGTCAGATTGGCAGCAGATTAACAGAAAGGAAATGAATTTCAGCTCCCCAGGCCAAGCAGAGAATAATTTCAGAACTTTATGTGCCTCTAAACTTGAGATTTTCCTGAAGGATTTTTTTCAGCTTCATAATACTAGCATGTTTTGTTGATTATAGGCAAATTATTGACAATATAAGGTGTTTAATTCATTGTGATCACAAAAAGAATATTTTACTACAATGTTAAAATGTATTACTTTGAGTGAGTGAAACCTAAAAGAAGTGCAAAACTATAGACAAAGCCCTTGAACATTGTAAACACAGATGAGTCAAAGTCAATTTAGGATCAACGGCTTGACAATTCTGTTTGGATTTGAGGAAAACAGTGACAGAGTTAGAAATGCAGGTCTCTTTAAGGCTCAAACAGAAAAGTTCCAAAGTTGACTAAGAGGTGTCATGCATTGGACTCTATGTTTAAGAGCTGAGATGGTCCCCCCCACCTCACTGTTGATGTTCTGCATTACCCTGAATGGGCATTGCCTGTAAATTAATCAATTGGTAAATGCAGGTGATTTACTGATGGTGGTTAATAGGTAAAAAAATACCATAGCTGATGGGAAAAGAATGACAGTTCTGTAAGAGCACTTCAGGATATTAAAAAAGTCTCACTCACGTGGTGTGTAAGGGCATTTCTGGATAGAAAAACAAAACAACTGAATCAGGTTTAGTTTGTGGCACAGTGGTAGGGTTCAACTCTTCAGCTATAAGGTCTGGGTTCAAGTCTCACCTGCTCATTGGGTGTGTCATAAAATGTTTGAATCAGTTGATTTAATAAAAGGCCGTGTTCTTGCCCCTGTTGGGCACTGCTTGTTATATTGTTTAATTAGCTATTTGGGTGATTTGGTGCTTCTTGTGAGCAGGGCTTGCAATTTGTTAAAATATTCAAATGGGTGATTAGTGGTGTGGCTTCCAAATTTTTTTTAAAGAAGAGTTGAGTTCTGAGGGGCTCTTGAATATAAAATCTAAGTCCATACCCCTGGTGGGCAGTGTTTGTTATTTATTTAATCATATTTCAGTGATTTGCTGGTGGGGTTTCTTAAAATCAACAGTTTGGTTGACTGCCTGTAATGGGTATTGTTTGATAATTGTTATTTATTAGTTAATTGGGTGATTTGGTGGTGGGGCTTTCAAAATGAAAGAGATGAGTTCTTACCCAGGAAGGTGTTGGCTTTCAGACAAGGAAGGGGTCAAGAAGGTAAAATTGGAAACTGACCCTTGTGATAAACTATAACCAGTAAAATGTTTTGCTGCTTAATTGAACATGTGGAGATCAGTATATGAAACAAGCAGTCCTACAGTTTGAATGTTCTGGCAAAGAATAAGTTAATTAAAGATGAATCTATTTGCCATCTGGGATGATGTGCATATAGATTTTAAATATCACATACAATTGATTTATTGCAAGAGATTTTCTATCAGCACTGTTTAATAGTACTTCTGAAAACCACATCCAAGGTAATCCTACCTGCAAAATAGCAACCGTCTGCGAGAAGTGATGCTGCTCCATTGTGGAGGTAGAATATAAAGCAGCTAGTGGGTGATCAAACTTATGTAGATAGCTGTTCGTGTAACCTCTGTGATCTAGGTCGTGACACAAGCAAGCCACTAGAAGACCTTTCCGCTTTGCATAGAAAAATATATGGGAAACAAAACAAAATTGTTTACAATTCCACTCTTGACTAATAACAGCCCTATCAATCTGTTGTGAAAATGTACTTTTGGAACAGAACAATTTAAAAACAGCTAACAGCATTTTGAAAGTAAATTAAATCGCAATCATTAATCATAAAACAAGTTTCATATAAACCATCTCAATAATAATAGATCTGTTTGGTAACCGGTTTGTTTTTAGCATATGCATAAATAAGATTCGTGTTGGTATCTTAAATATGTTTTCTTGAACAACTGGTGAACTTAATTAGTATTGTTTGGCAGATGGGGGAAATGAGTTCAACAGAGCTACACAACTTTAACACAGCACATTTGTTACTGTCAGATTCCTAGTTCTTCGTAGTTTGGAAAAGAACCAAAATGTTCTGGAAATACACGGCACAAAACACAACACTCGAAAAAGGAAACTGCATTACTGCAACTACCAGCAAGCTGTCACCAGAAAATTCCAAAGGTAAAAATATTTTCTTCAGATACTGAAGAACCTATGTATTTTCAGTATTTACGTTTTCTGATTTTCAATATTTGTAGTGTTCTTTCCACATTCTGAATTTGCCTTCAGCACTTGCCATTTCAAGAAAATTCAGATTGAAGAACAAAACTACATCAAGTTAAATTAGGATTCTTCATACCATCTGCATGAAAACCATAATCCAAACTTTATTTAATTTGCTTTTTTCCCCCCTATTTTCCATGCACACAGTCAGTTTCAATCGGAATCACTTTCAATCATTGTGCCACTTCAAGGCTGTATACCCTGGAAGTGCTGATTTGTAAGACAACAGTTTACTGCACCATAAACTTTTTCTAAAGTTATCTGTTTGCCCTGTGTTCTGCTACTAGAAAGATTCAATTCGTCTTCCCTTTTCTACTCAGAGTGCATAATAAAGAACTGTGCTAACTCGGGACAAAGCCACCCCCGCAACAGCTGTACTTTTTAGCAAAGGTTGTATTATTCCCTTTGGTTAAAACAGAGTACTTTCCTCAAAATGGTGAAAAAAGTTGTTTACGATCAACATGTGTGAACACATTATGGCACATTTCCAAGGCAGGTGGGACACGAAAATATGAGGTTGTGCACTTTGGCAGGAAGAATAGAACAGTTGAACATTATCTAAATAGAGAAAGCTACATACAGCACAGAGAGATCTGGGAGTCCTTGGCCATGAATTACAAAAACTAACAAACTAGTTCAACAGGTAAAGCAAATGAAATACTGGTCTTTATTTCAAAGGGGATGGAGCATGCAAATGGCAGGTGTTACTAAAACTATTCAAGACAATAGTCAGACCATAGATTGAATACTTTCTGCCAAAGTGGACAAGCCTAAATTTTCCCACATTATATTCCATCTAACAAATTTTTGTCCATTTGCTGAACCAATCTATATCTATATGCAGACTCTTTGCTTTTCTGCCTGCCTTGCATCATCTGCAAATTCAGCTACCATAAATTTGGTTCCTTCACCCAAGTCATTAATATAAAATGCAAAGTCAAGGGTCCAACACGTATCCATGTGGCACTCCACTAGTTACAGTTTGCCACCCAAAAATGACTCATTTATCATGACTCCTTGCTTCCGGTAAACTAACTAATCCTTTTTCAAAAGCACTTTATGCAGTAGTCTTTGATGTTTCACCTTATCAGATGCCTGTTGGAAACCCAAATACTTTACATTTACTGGTTCCTCTTATTCACCCTGCTTTTCATTTTCTCAAAGAACTCTAGTAAATTAGTCAAACACAATTTCTCTGTTACAAAAACATATTGACTCTATTTGATTGTATCATGATTTTCTAAATGCCCTATTAACAGCCTCTTCAATAATGGATTCCAGCATTTCCCTAATGATGGAGCTCCGGCTAAACGGCTTACAGTTTCCAGTTGTCTGTCTCCACCTGTTTTTGAATAGGGCTGCTTAAATTGTGATTTTCCAATCGATTGGGACAATTCCAGATTCTAGGGAATTTAGAAGATTACAACTAATGTATCTACTATCCTGTAGCCACTCAAGACTGCACGTTGCAGGCCAACATGTCCTGGTTTCTTTACCATTCCATCTTTTAACCCATTTTCCAAGCCCACTTTAGCCATCTCTAACTTTATGCATCTGTAATTGCCTTTGTTTAAGGTTAAACACTTACGTTAGTCCCTTTAGACACATGTTCCTCAACCTCAAATTGAATGTGGAATTTTATTAGGAGCTCTTTTATTATCTAGCCATTAATTAATTCAGCCCCATTACACAATGCCTATCCTATCTTTGACAGGTCTAACTTAGCCTTCTCCCTATTTTGTTCCAGGATGTATTGTTCTAAGAAATTGTTCCAAACACACTCTGTGGACTTATCTTCCTGGTTACCTTTGTTGATTTTATGTCCAATTCATACGAAGATTAAAATTTGTCCTGGTTACTTCAGTAACTTTCTTTCAAACCCACATTTCTTCATGTATATTTAGTCCCACAGAATAGCTACTGCTTGGGGGCCTATAAACTATTCCACAAGCAACTTGGTTCCTTTGTTATTTCTTTTCTCCATTCAAGTTGATTCTATATCATGCTCCTTTGACCCAAGATAATCTCTTACTAATGTACTCAGTTCATTTTTTTAAGTAAAAGAGACCCAATACATTCTCCTTTCTTCTTGCCTTCTCAAAATGTCAAGTACCTTTGAATATTCAGATTCCAGCCTTGGTCACATTGCAGCCACTTTGTGATTGATATCAGATCGTACTTATTTATTTCTGCATGTGCTGTCAATTCATCTCTTTTGATTTAAATGCTCCCTGTATTCAGATTCACTGTCTTTAATTCTGTCCCTTTTCCTGGTCTTCTGCTCTCTGACAGAAGAATAATACAGTGTGAAAAGATGGACACGCCAAGATGAAATAAATGCAGGAAGGCCAACCAGAGCAAAAAACAGCAAAGTGAAAAGGGGTGGCATGATGTCTCAGTGATTAGCACTGCTGCCTCACAATGTCAGGGGCCCAGGTTTGATTCCACTCTCAGGTGAGTGTCTGCGCAAACTCCACACATTCTCCCTGTGTCAACATGGGTTTCCTCCAGGGGCTCCAGTTTCCTCCCACAGTCTAAAGATGTGCAGGTCTAGGTGGATTGGCCATGCTAAACTGCCCATAGTGTCCAGAGATATGTCGAATAGGTAGGATAGCCATAGGAAATGCAGGGTTACAGGGATAGGGTTAGGGGTTGGGTCTGGGTGGGATGCTCTTAGGAGGGTCAGTGTGGACTTAATGGGCCAAATGGCCTGCTTTCACACTGTAGGGATTCTCTGATTTTAGGAAATGAGGCAGAGTAAGAAAGAAGCAGAGAACAGTTGTGGAATAAGACTACTTCTTCCTCATGCACTAAAATAGATTTCTCGGTTTAGCAGGAAAGGGGGTGGGGGTTCATTGAGGAAAACCGTAGGAAAAATATTCTGTTACTCAAATTATCAGGTGAGAATCTGCTTAAAAGGCTCTTTATCTGCAGAATTTATTCAACTGTCCAGGATTCATTTAATTTTTAACTTATATAATCAAACTCAGTGCCACTTGCTATGATCCCAGCTGATGGCAATACTGGATAAGTTAGATTCTGGAATGAAACTTTGCTTGGATTGGCCATAAGTTTTATTTTTGTGATTGGTTATTGTGGTCACTGAGGCTGTTCACACAAGGCTGCCAGTGTTCTTCTAACACAATGTAAGATTACTATACAAAAGGAATAAAAAAAATTTGTATGTCAATTTGAAAACATCTTAACACATATTGTAACATTAAAGACTCAATCCTTTTGCCAGCAACATTCTTTACAGATAAGTAATCACAATTATACATCACTCCTATCTTAACACTTTAATTTCTTACTTAACTGACTTTTCCAAATTTCCCTCTTGACTTCACAAACTAAAACATTTCTGCCAGGATGAAACCATTTTCCTGAACGGAAACTTGATTCAACTGTTCTTCCAGCATGAAATGAATATCCAATTCTTCTGAAATGAACTCAGACTAAACCACCAGTGGCTGCAGATCATTGTTTTCTGCATGACATAATCTCAGCAGTGATAAGACATAGTCAATTAACACTGCAGATATCTGGCCGGGCACTTACTAAGTCACATGCTTTCTGCAAATGATTTATTTTTTCCCCGTTGTCCACTCACTTCTGCAGTTCCTCTGATGCTTTATATCAGTTTCAGAACTTCCACTTTGTGGGCTCCAGTCACCCCCTCTTTACCATGGACATGCAATCCCTTATTACGTTTATCTCCCATCAATATGATCTCGGGGCCCTCCGCTTCTTCCTGAACCATCCCCACCAACCACCAGCCTCCTCCGCATGGCTGAGCTCGTCCTCACTCTGAACAACTTCTATTTTAAATCCTCTCACTTTCTTCAGGTCAAAGGGGTGGCCATTGGTACACACATAGGCCAGAGTTAAGCCTGTCTCCTTGTCAGGTATTGGAACATTCCTTGCTCCAGTCCTATTCCAGCCCACCATCCACAATTCTTTCTCTGGTATATCGATGATATCATTGGTGCTGCTTCTCTCTCTCGCCTGGAATTGGAAAGGTTTATCAATTTCGCCTCCAATTTCCACCTGTTCTCAACTTCACTGGTCCACCTCTGACTCCTCTCTTCCCTTTCGCAACATCTCTTTCCATTTCTGGGGGTAGGGTAGCGACCAATATCCAATACAAACCCATCTCTCTCAGTTACCTTGACTATACACCCTCACACCCGGCTTCCTGTAAAGATTCTGTTCCATTCTCCCAATTCCTTGGTCTCCGTCGCATCTGTTCCAAAGATGCCACCTTCAACTAGGAGGCCTCTGAAATGTCCACCTTCCTACTCAAATGAGGATTCCCCATCACCGTAAATGACAGAGCCCTCAGCCGGGTCTGACAGATCTCCTGCATTTCAGCCCCTATCCCTTCTCTAACCTCC